CATAATCAACAAGACCATCAAATGGGAGCTTGGCAGGCCATGTTTGAGCTTCAGCAACTCTGAGTTGCAGTCCTTCTTCTACTTCCTCTTGGGTGAGATTTGACGCATTTTCCGAAGGCATTGGAAGGTATGGGGGAGAAAATGGCAGGAGTTTTGTGTTGGTCTTCTAGGAAAATTGTTTTTGGTACTTTGATGATTTCGGCCAAGTCAACAGTCATTCTGCCGTTGGAGCCATCCAATATTGCATAGAGCTATCAAGGCAGGCATGCGGCCGGCTGGCAACATTTGGGAGAGTCTTATCTTCTGGATTTCGTCATATCGCAACATTTTTCCCATTGAGATTGATAGTCCAATACACCAAACGGGGGTACCTGGTAGGATAGTTGATCGCAAAACAGTGCAAAAAGTACGTGCTTTGTCCGGGTGTGTTACAATGTTTTCACCCTCCCAGGGTACCACCTGATACTAAGAGACCCGCCAGAAGAAATTTACACAAACTTGGTTAGCCATGTTCAATTTAGGCTGCATATGGCGCGAAAACCTTTTCATCTTGGAACATTTATTCCCAGGGATACCCCACGTAGTACTAATGGATCAACATCAAACTTAGTACTTTTGGTGGTCTCCTGACATATGAAACTACAAGTGGCCCACCCTCCAATCCTACTAGATTACAACCATGATCAGACCTACTTTTGGGTCTATTTTCCTACTACTGGTAGATTACAATAATGATCAGACGTACTTTCGGATCTACTTTTGGTCCAACATCCGTTCCTACATCCTAGCTTACTAGATATGAATCATTCGTTCTTACTAGCCGATGGATACTTCCTCCCACATATGAAAGTAATTTGGGTCCTACATTTGAAATTTCCATTGGCCCAACATGAAACCTTGCTAGATTACCATGATCTGGACCTGCTTTACTCGGGATCAGCACCTGCTGCTGGTCCAAGAACTTTCCGGTCTTTAAAATATGGTGACCCTGAGTAAAAGCTATTTGATCACCCATATTTACTAGCGGATTAACATAAAATTTACTTCAGGTCCTGCGTGTGAAACTACCAGTTGCTCAAATCAAAGGAACGAGCAGTTGGGAGGTACACCCATGAAAGGGCCTGGTAGAATCCCCCACTCCTTGTTAAATATGTAATACAGTATTCATTATTCGAAAAATAGGTTTCGTACTGGCTGGTGAAATTTTAAGCAGGGAATTTGATACATATTCAAGTTTCGTATCCTGTGTCAATCTTCATACGCCCTTGGGATAGTCGGCTGATGACACCTTGAAAAAACTCCACCGCCCAGATGTTTGCAACCTTTCAGTACCCACGTCTCTGACCGTCGAGAGCCTCCCAATCCAATTGTTTGTCACGTTGGGATTGGTTTAACCTTAAAGTGTAGATTTATGAGCGTGAAAATAAGGCATCGCAGATCTTGAACCAAGTAATGGAAAACCTTCATTCCTGCTGGATCTGGGCTCTTTTGTATGTCGACAAGGCTCAATATTTCACCGCATGTAAATGCAATGTGCTCATTTCCAATTTTTATCTCTAGTTCTTGCCTTGCATCAGGTGGCTCTTCCCAGTCCCTGTCGTCGACCGTTGTTATCTCTGATGTCAGAATAATACGCTTAATTTCTTCGACAACTCCAGGGTTAACGCACACCTCTTTCCGAATCATGGAGTCATGTCTGTAGTTTGAATTGTTTGCGTACCGGAGCTTTCCACTTGGAGTCAACTCGAATTCCTGGATAACTCGTCAAGTGTCAATCCTTGATTGAGTAGGCTCAACAGATGCACCAGCCCGTATTACTTACCATGAACTCGTGACCGTAATCACCCTTGTGGCCTACATAGTATCGCAAGTAGAACTCATCGTTGTACGCACGGCGTCCGAGATCCTCCAGACGTTGATCTATTTCGTGTGAAGCTTGGCGTCCCTCTGTACTTGCCATGGTTACTTCACCATTCATTCGTTCTTTAAGCACTCTACTGTATTTGTGTTTCGCAGTTTCGATGTTTTCCAAACTCGTCATCTGTGCTGCTGTTGTTCGACTAGTACGACTAACACAATCGTTTGAAGGATTTGCAGATAAAATTCAAAATACTGGTCCTACCTGGTCTCCTACTTATTGCTTTGCTCTCTCCCGTCTTTGCCAGTTTCTTGTCTTCTCGCTATTCATTCCTTGATTTACGGTGGCGTGTTAAGGGAGATGGGAGGAAAATCCGACTTGAACACAGTTCCTAATTCAGCCATTGCTTCGCTGCTTGACCAAGGTGTCAGTCTAGGATTCTTCCATACACCGCCTTCTTCGAACGATCTGAATGCCGAGCGAGACGATGTGGAAATGTACAAACAATTTCAGAAAGATGGTCCCTTGAAACATTCACTCGATATCAACTGTCAGCTCATTGAAGGCTGCCCCGGCAACTACTATAGTCAAGAGGGGATGGTAAATGTAATCATCAATGAACTCAATCGTGTAGGAGGGCGTGCATCAAAATTCCATCTCTGCCAAACACTGCATGTCAAACCAGTGTTTTTGGAAGCAAACTCGACCATCTTGAAACTGCTGCCGCTCTCGATTCAAGTACTGGGCACAGATCTCATTTCTGATATCTTTTGGACGAATCTTCGCGAAGCTGTTTTGCGGGAGGTAAGAGAGAATGGGGTACTGGATGTGGTGAAATTAGCAAACCAAAAAGGAATGCAGATGGAGGCAATATTGGAGAAGATTGTTTCAAATATTAGTATAGAAGGCGTCACGTGGATGGAAAGTTCTCAAGAGCTGGCGTCAGAAAAACATATTGAAAACATTCGTTCTTCTATGATTCAACATTTTCAGTCACTGGAGGAGCCCGTCGTTGTCGCAAAAGTATGTACTGAACGTTCCTGGGACGTGAAACTTGCTCTTGATTGCCTCGTCCATCACACGAAGAACGAAGAGATTAAAGGAGAAATTCACATGGATACGGAATCCATGAACCTCGCCACCGCCACATTTACCCCCTCCTCCTATACCAACAAACAGCAGGATGAAGTCGCGAACTTTCTTGAAGCGAATGGCTTCATTAGCAAAGCGAGGGCTTTGCGTCACGGGTTATCGCTCCTCAAAATTGAGCAGCTTGCAAAGGAACGTCACCAAGACGTCATCATACTAGAGGATTTCCTGATTGCTGAACATACTGTTCTTCAAAAGCTCCAGGCCTCTATTGAGTTGTGTATAGAGAATGGCATTTCGGATCTACAAGAGTACATCCCTGCCGAACTAATTCGCCAAGACATCATCTTCGAGCTTTTGAAGCGTGTAACACAATCCTCAAATCAATGCATCCCAGTGATATGTAAAGGTAAAGCAGTACTTGTGGCGCAGCATTTTCAGAACGAGATACGAAATACTGTCCTAGTGCCTCTTGTGCAGAGTTTTGCCAAAGCAAAAGCTGAGGAGATCATTGATGAAAACCGGAAACGAGAGACAGACGACGACGAAGACGAAATCACAAACCATGGTGGAAAGAAAAACAAATCCAGGTCGCGAAAACAAAAAGAAAAACATAGCAATAAACATATTGACGGCGTTGGAGTGGTTCCATTGCAAAATGTTGCTCAACGAATGATCGATTTATACACAACACTTACAGTAGTTGATGCAGATGTGGAGGACATTGCGTCTCTTGGTGATAGGTTTGAATGGGAGGATGAAAATGATAGCGGCTTTCTCTTGATCGAATTCTGCAAGTGCATTCTTTACACGGATGCTTTTCAATCACAGTGTCAGTCTGCTGTTCTGGCGGAGTTGAAGCGACTGGAATCAGCCAAAATTTCAAAGTCTTGTCTCAGCCGCAAGGAAGCGGCTACAAAAATTCGCAATGTAGACTCTGCATTTGAAGATTGTTTCACGGATCTTTGCTATCTGATACAGGCATCCTCAAAGTTCCATTTGTTCGCTAGTGGATACAAGGACGTGTTCGACGTAGCCACTGTGAAAGGACTGCAAAATGAGTTGCTCTTGGGGTACTGCGCCGATCTAACCAGCCGAATAACTCAATACTGCCTATACAAAAACGAAGAAGAGCCTCTTTTCACATTCAAATCGGAAGTCGAGGAGGAAAAGGCCAAAGAGGAATCTTTGATTCCGAGTTTGCCACCTTTCTGCATGGAGCTGGATTTTACCGCAACTCAACCCATTCGAAGTTATCTCTCGTGTCCGCCACCAAGAGAGCCGCTTCCTGTACTGCGCGAATGCCTAGATAGCAACAAGGGGGTGACTCTTGCCAGGCAGTGGATATTGTGCGGGGGTGAGTCCTATCGTGGAGGCGTTCGAATTTCGGAAGAAGGTTCATCGATTGTTCGAGAAGGAACTGTTGATGGTTTCCTGAACCACGTGCAGGAGAATTGCCTAACACTTTGTGGACTCCCGTTTAAAAAATTGGACAAGAAAGCGGAAAAGCAACTTCTGTTTCGTCGCAAGGTGGCGCTAATGACGATGCTCGAAGAGACCACGGATCCTGCCAAAGTTTTAAATTTGACGATAATGCTATTATTCCAACAAGTAAAGCACATGGTTGTCTACGGCAAATACTTGCGAGGTTCCATCTTGAATGCTTTGGTGAAAGAGAGAAAAATATCAGAATCAGTCGGCGATGTTCTACAGGGTCTGAACGACAGAATTGAAAAAGGGTTGTCTATCAGTGAAGGGTACTTGAATGCCGCGAAAGGATGCGCCCTTTGCAAAGACATTGGAAAGCATGAAATTGACTTTGCAATAGAGTGACAAGAGACGAGTAATGGCTTCACTTTGAAAATCACGATCCCGGCTGGTCTATTTCAGTGAAATGAATGGACGCCTCATTTATCGCATTTCATCTTCACGGCTATGAAATGAAGAGTTTTGCCATGGTCTTAAAATCTCAGAGTCTATTTTATATTAATGAGTTTTACTGAAATTATTCCCTAAGGTACTACGCGATCTGTACCTGACCAGATGTGCAGATTCACTTCTCGACGAGAAACTACTTTGTTTCAGCAATGGCCGTGCTCTGGTCCTTTCCCAGTTGCATCAGGGAATCGTCCACTTGTTGCACAATCTCGGACGTGGAGTAGGCAGCACCATCGCCTCCCTCCTTTTCAATTTCACCCTTGATCCAGAAGTAGGTCTTGCGAAGGCCATCTGCGATCTTGATTTCAGGTTTCCAGCCCAATTTCTCCATGATGAGCTTATTGTTACTGTTGCGACCACGAACCCCCATGGGTCCTTCGATGTGCTTGATAGGGAGCTTCTTGTTCTCAAAACTGAGAGCAATGTTTGCAAACTGAATCATGTCGACCATTTCAGTGGATCCCAAGTTGATGGGAACATCACAGTCGGAGAACATTAGTCGCAAGACACCTTCAACACAATCATCAATGAAAGTGAAACTACGGGTTTGCTTTCCGTCCCCCCACATTTCGAAGTGGTCAGTGGAAGTAATGGCCTTACGGCAGAAGGCTGCTGGTGCCTTTTCACGTCCACCCTTCCAAGTTCCGCGAGGACCATAGATGTTGTGGAATCGGGCAATTCTGATCTTCATGGGGAAGTCACGACCGTAGGCTAAGGCCATTTCTTCGGCGTAGAGCTTTTCCAATCCATACATGTCTTGAGGTCTGGCAGGCCATGCATCAGATTCAATCAAACCTGGGTTTTCGGGATCTTCTTGCTTTGCTTCGTTGTAGACGCAAGCAGAGGACGAGTAGAAGAAGTCCTTGACCTTGTTACGGCGAGCAGCCTCGAGCATGTTCATACTGATGGCGGTGTTGTTGAAAGCCAGGACAGATTCGTTGGAAACAATGAACCCCATTCCACCCATATCGGCAGCCAAGTTGTAGACTTGGGTACATCCTTCGCAGGCCTTGCAGGCAACTTCCAACTTACGAAGATCGTCGAGGATGAATTCATCACAGAACTCGCTCTTCTCCATGAATTCGTTCTCCTTCCAATCGACGACGACTACATACCAACCGTTCGCTTTCAATCGCTTGGCAATGTGACTTCCAATGAATCCGGAGCCTCCACCGATGCATACTTTTTTACCCTCTCCCTTTGGTAGAATGAATTCAGACATTTCGCTTATCTTGTTATCGTAGTGATTTGTATCTAATCAAACTTGTGATGGCTGATTTGTAACTTCGCTTGACGAATGGTTTTGAATTCAGTCACAATGAAAATGACCGAAAGAAGAGAGAAGTTCAGTCCCAGAGCTGAGGGAAGAAGATAGGTACATTTTTAGTGGTTTCTAAATACCACAAGAGCTAAAAAAATCCAAGTCAACAAAACTACAGTACTGTGGTGACCGTCTGTACTGTATGAAATTGAAAATGGCCAGTGCTTTGTTCTACCGCCGGTACTGGAACAGCAAGTCAATGCAAGCACCTCAATGTCGAAGGATTGCTGATTGCTGACAAGTAGCACCGTGCAATTCCAACATGAGTCGTCGAGATGGTCCTATTGACGAAAAATGGCTCGACAGACCACGGGCCAAACGCAGCTCTGATAGACCATCTTCAAATGTCGATGATTCTTCGAAGAAGCATTGCCATAAAAAAGCTGGCGAAACTTTGAGCGAGAGTGAAAATAGTCGTTGGACCGAAAAGCTGACCAAAAAGGGAGATTCCCCAGAGGTGTCAAAAAGCCAAAGGGATATTCATCAGACAAATCTCTTTAGCTTTTTCTCCTCTTCGTCTTCCACAAAGAAACAATCGATGCAGCATGAAAACGACAAGATTTCCCCCCAACATGAAGGAAAGGCTAAAACTGCAACAAAAAAAGCCACACCAGCTCAGGAGAAAAACGCATTCTCGCAACCAATTTCAGCTAAGCCCGCTGAGCCACAGCTAGATCAACCAGGAGCAATTTCCGATGCTATTCCAAAACCAATGATACCCTCCACAGTTTCTCCGCCTCAAAATGTGATATGGAATTCTCCCATGGATAGTGTGATCATTCGCAAAGTGCGGGGAGAGAAACCAAGAAAGAAAGTAGCAGCAATGGATTTGGATGGCACATTGACCGTATGGAGAATCAGTGGATGGCCATCAAGATTGGAGCACTATGAATTATGGAGCTCTACCATTCCGTCACAACTTCGATCGCTCCACGATGACGGACACAAGTTGGTCATTTTCAGCAACCAAGGGGCGATCCGCAAATCGCACGATGGAAAAAAAGCTACATTGGTGAAGAATGTCATCAATTGGATCGCTGGACTGGTCGACCGACCAATTCATGCGGTGATGTCGACCAAAAGCTTAAAGAACGACCCAACAAATTCTTATCACAAGCCAAGCGAGAAAATGTGGGATGTTGCCATTCGATTTCTGAACAATCGAGAGCCATTCGATGTCACCAAAAGCTTCTTTGTCGGCGATTCTGCCGATGTCAACGACGAGCAAGGTGGTGTGGATTTACGCTTCGCTGCTGCCATTAGCATGACACATGGTGGCGGCTCGCAGCTCCAATTTTGTGAACCATCACAATTTTTTGGGCCAAGCGACGCTAGTCGTCGGGCTTCGGCAAATGCTATAGGAAAATCTATTCCACCTCCGCCCAATGAAGCACTGAAAGCGAGAGCTGCTTTTCTCGGTGGATATTATCCACGAGTTCCCATCATGTTGCTATTGTGCGGAGTCCAGGGTAGTGGAAAATCCACTTTTTGCAAACAACTACTCCGTGTCAATGCCGAAAGCTGGATTCATTTGAGTCAGGATACGATCAACAAAGGGAAACCAGGGAAGCGAGAACAAGTTGAAGCGCGAGCAAGGGCCGCAATTCAAAATGGAAAATGTGTTCTCGTTGATCGCATGCATCTAGATCCAATGCAAAGGAAATTCTTTATTGATGTGGCAAAATCTGAGAATGCCCCGGTCCATGTTGCAGTGTTCAAGCCACCAAGAAATGTCATTCTGGAACGTGTTCGGAACCGAACGAATCATCCTGGAAAGGTGATGGGTGAAAGCGGGGTTCGACAGGCGTCAAGAGCTCTGGACAAATTAGAGATGCCATCATACTCTGAAGAAATCGAATTGATCACCTGCGTTTCCACAGCACAAAGGGTCGGGTGGCTTGCATCTCTGTACGGCAACATGATGGGGGGAGCGAGTGGGTTCTACTTTCCTCACTGTGAAATTCCTGCTTCGGACAACTTCAAGATGCCAACTATTTCGCTCGGAACGATGGGCATGGGCAAGCGAAAAGCCAAGGAAATAGTGCTTTCAATGATTGATTCTGGTTTTGGCTGTATTGATACAGCCCCAACCTACAGGAATGAAGAAGAAATCGGAAAAGCGTTGTCTTTTTCTAAAAGCGATACACTTTGTATCGTGAAAATTCCGAAAGCTGCCACGACCACAGAAAAAGTTCGTCTGTCCCTAGATTCAACACTGGGGAAGTTGCAACTGAAGCAAGCGGATCTCCTTCTCCTACACTGGCCATGCGACGTCATGGCGGCTGGAACCCTGTCAGCTGTATGGAAAGAAATGGAGAGTTACTTGAACGACGGTCTTTGCAAAGCACTTGGCGTCTGCAATTTCAATGTTGGCGCCCTTGCATCTCTCCTTTCCGTTTGCACAGTTCGACCTGTCGTGAACCAAGTTGAGCGCCATCCGCTCTTGGCTCAATGGGATCTACTTGATTTTTGTACACAGAACGACATTTTTCTGCAGGCACATTCGCCATTGGGGCAGGGCAGTGATGAGCTATTGAATCAGCCCCTACTCAAGTGTATTGCTAGCGAGACCTCGATGTCAACAGCACAGATAGTGATTCGTTGGAATCTACAGCACGGGGCACTGGTGACTCCAAAATGCTGTACGCCAGATCACGCAAATGAAATCTTGTCCACTTTTGCGCTGTCATCAGATCAGATGAAAACCATTGATTCGCTGGACAGAGGGCGACGATTTGTCAGCCCACCGTTCATGTATGGCACGGCAGTTTATTGTTGGGGTAAACAAATCCGGACATAGTGACAAAGTGCGTGTCTGAAGTTGGAAATAGAAGAAGTAACTAGCTCTGAACGCAGATGGGAATTTGTGAATTCTAATCTGACTGCTGCTCTTGGAAAGGAGCTCAATCTCTTCCATCATTGCTTCAAAAGATTGTGAGATTGATTTTTCCCCCCGTAATCATCGTCTTGAAAAATGTTGAAATGCTGCAAAGAACAATGCCTAGAAGATACGAGACAACGACAATGAAAGCGATTGTCGTTGTCGTTAGACGGGTCAGCCATCCCACGGTTGATAGACCATCAGAATCACCATCACTTGTTTTGGGAATGTCAGAGCTGACAGCTTCTTCTAGCTTTACATAAACTGGTCGATGTATGAGAGGTGATAAAACCAACACACCGTGATACGCCTGAAAAATGATAAATGCTGTGTAGTAATAAGCTGACAAAATAAAGTACTATCTCCTTCAACTGAAATAAAGAGTTTAGCAGAAAAGTCATCCATGGATGGTGTTTTGCTCGCAGGAACCCAGAAGATCTGTGGATTCTACCAAAAAACGGTAATTATAATAACTGAGACATTAATTGTTAATATGCTACTCTCTGGGCATTCCATTGCCGGTTCATGTCGGCTGTAAAGGTCAGGTACTGCTGAGCGATGAGTCCGCAACAAGTTTGAACCATGTGAGGCATCTGTAAAACAGAAGTTGCTCAAGTCGTATGGAGGTCAGGGACGACTTCTCCCGCAGCTGGGCGGGGTGAATTCGGGGCACTTGAGGTCCAGCGAAAGGGTTAGTCAGAGTCCGGGAGGATGGAGGGAGAAGAGCGTCTGAAGACTTTGGTGTTGAGCTTTCAAAGACCGACGGTAATCCCTGCGCTCCTGTTGAAGCAACGCAAGCCAAGATTCCTTGTCCATCAGAGATTTACGGAGGACTTGTCGACGACAAGTGAGCATAGGCTTTATTTCCGGTGGTAAATCATCCGGACCCATATCAAACTGGGAGTGAATACCTTTGATAGCAGTTCGGTGACGTGCAAGGAGCTGGACATTATTGTCCGAGTGTTGAACAGAGTTCCGCTGCTCCCACATATAGAAGGCGAGTGCAATTAGTTCCTGGGAGAGCTGAGAAGCCCAAAGAGAGACGGATCGACAACCTCGAATCTCGTCAAGGTAGTGTTGTTGGAGGGGGAGCCAAAGCAAAGCGATCCTGCCTTCCAAGAGGCCTTGGTAACCGATAACCTGTTGTGCCAAGAAGGCTGGCTGAACCGCCGGAGAGATAGCCTGGATAGAAGGGAGAATGTGGTCGCGAACACCCCCGAGTAATATCAGCATCAACGTTTTGATGGAGGGATCCGTCAGGAGCATATCCATCCATGTGGATAGAGCGGAGACCCGGCGGTCCCATTCCTGTGTGACGGAGACAGCGTGGCATCGAGGGACGTGTAAATGGTCCTTGAAGGAACCACAGCGTGGACAAGCCGCCGCCTTCTCTAAACCCCAGAGTACCTTGAATTTACCGGTGCCACACATCCCCACCCAGGGTTTGGTGATCCAACGTGTTGGATTTCGGTTCTGGCGGACACCAGACAAGCGACAGGCTTGTCGTCGTCCAAACCGATTGACAACTTTGTGGCCCATAAAGCCATCATTGCCAACCAGCCGTGCCAATATGCGACCCATCAAGT